TATATATATTATGTTAAAATTATTAAAAACAAAAAGTCTTATGTGATAACTGTCACTAACAGAATGTGCTCAAGTGTCTCACATTAGATGTATAAAAAGTGAGATATTTTTAGACATCTATCTTATATGCTTTACAAATAAAAAGATATATTGAATCACGAACTTGGGTTAAAAAAGGAAAGGAAGTAAAACGAATGGATCATTAATAGTTTTATTGATATCAGCTCTGTTTTTTAAAAAAAAGATTATAAATCTCTTTTCAAATGCAGAAGCCATACAGAAAAATAATTCAGATGAGGTCTTGGGACTTTACAGTGAGCCACATGTTTCTATGGGTCACATTTTTACAAACTGCATCTTAGTATTGTTTACTGATAGATGCTCAACAAATTTTTTATAATTTTTATGAGAAGAAGGGAGCGTAATACATGGAAATATCTTAATGTTAAGAAAAAAATCATAAAAAGCACTAGTCAAAATAATTTGAAAAGGTAGCTAATCATTATGCAGCTCTAAACATTTCAATTTATTACTATACTTGCATAAATTTGTTTTACTATATAGTACACAAAAAAACGTTATTGAAACTTCCGATTAAAAAAAATTAAAGTTAAAATTACAAGTCAAAATATCACTGTTAGAAAATTTGAATAGATAAATTTTTGTAGAATAAAACAAATCAAAATTATTTTACGTAAAATGTCATTTTACAGCAATAATTTATTATTTATGCAGCATCTGAAAGCTAATTTTATTAGACACTAACAGAAGATACTGCATAAAAATTAACTAACAGAAAAATCCAACAGGACTAACTAAATACTAACAGAAAAGCACATTTTTCCTACATAAGATAAGTTTTTTGTCAGCCTATAAATAAAAGCACAGGTGAGTCATAACAGACCTGTGAATTACCAGGGCATGATTCTATTCTACTAAGTTTAAGATGCTAAAATATTTTTTTAGTTTATTTAAGACACTTTCATTCTTATTCACTCCTATTTCAATGAAATCAAAAGCAAGGAAGATTTCTATACACTAAAACCAACTGTATATTAATTCATAACATTAGTAATTAATAAATCAATAAACTGCATTTATTATAACCTTTAAATTAACAACCACAAACAACAATCACAATGGCTACAAATGTTCCACAGAATGGAGTATTCATACTAATAAGATTTTGCCAATTTAAAACTCTGAATACTGTCCCACTGGTTCAGAGCACAATAGAAGTTACATTAGGGTCTATAACTTTCACTATTTTTGTAAGCCATAGAAGATAAGCAATAGTTTTAAAAGATCCTATCCTCATACAGATTTGAGCTTGTATTAAGTAAGAAAATCTTTCATTAATTAAGACAAAGTTGAAAAAAATAGTACTCTAAGTCAGTTTTCCCAATTTTTGTAGCTGCGGAACCTTAAATGACCTTCTTCTTGCAAAATCTAAAAGTTCATTAGCAGTTATGGACATATTAATGAAAGAAAGAGTACTAATTATTCAATTTAAATTCATTTAAAAAAAATTTTAATATTTTTAATCAACAAGAAATTTAAAATTAGGGCTCGTGTCAGACAATTGAATTTGCAGGTCCAATGTAACATGAAGTTTTTTTTGTTGCTTTTTTATATTTCCAATGATCTAATTCTGTATTTGTTTTGGGGGTAAGCATAAGAGGAAAATGAAGAAAAGAAGGAGATAAATTATTGTATTTGTTGAAATAAGAAAAAAATGTAACAAGTCTTTTGAATAGCTATCAAGGAAGCATATTTCTTCCATTGCTGAAGTTAGTAGTTTTATTTTAAGTTGAAAACGTCAATGAGAAATTGTAAGAAATTTTTTTTATAAATGCACAAGGTTTCATACTTTATTCAATATATTAAAAAAACTATCCTTTTTAAAATTTAGTTACTTTCTTTACCCTTGGTAAATGATCCAATTTTGGAAAAGCAATTAAAATATAAATGGATTATTGATTGGGTGGAAACCAGGTGGTTCCGCTGGTTAAAGAAAGCCCAAATTCTTAGAAATTTTGTGACCCTACCATGTAATTCTAGGGTTTCCTACATGGTTGCCACTGATATCTGAAGAAAAAAAATTCCCTGTGTTTCCCCTGCACACATTATACATAGCATATTAAGAGTAAACACTTATTCACAGTGTTCTTGTGAGCTATAATAGGATAACGATGTTACTTTCAGTTACTGGAAATACTTAGAAAAATAAGAAACAGCTCAACATAAAATAAATAATGCTACAATAAATGAAATAATATAATACAGATGAACTATCATCTTTATCTATCTCATAGATTAAGCTTTGAGAGGTCTGCATTTTTTAAAAGACAAAAATAAGAAATAAAAATTTAATTCCCTGTTTTTTCCAGTTTGCAAAGAAAAATTCGAAATTCCATTCATTTTCCTCTTATTTTAGATGATTTTTAAATCCCCTGCATTTTCCAGGTTCTTTCTATTCTACCTGTGGAGTGGAAACCCTGCTCTAGGAAGATCTTATATAAACCTCTTAGTCATTAAATTTACCAACAAACCAATGAATATTTTATACTTACTGTGTCACCCAATTTATTAATTATTTCTGGCATACTCTGCTCAACAAGAAATGATGCATCCACTTTAGAGGCTCTACACAAATGCAAATATTAACTTATGTTATTCTAAAAATTTAACAATTACTAAATACAAAATTTGTAATCAGAAAATCAACAAAACAATAATTATCTAACAGAAAATATGAAGGGAGAGAAGATGAATATAAGGAAAGTTTATAAGCGGCAAAGAAAAATTTTAACCACGTAACTGTTTGTAACAAGCTTCCGCTTGTTACAAAACATGAATTTAAAAACAACTTTATTAATATAAAGATAAAAGGGTTATATTGAACCTAAAAAAGCACAAATAAAAATAGTTTGAGCAGATACAGTTGTTTTAGTATTATAAACAAAGTATGATCCTCAATATAAAGACATATTATATTTGTGTTTCATTTTTTTTTTTTTTTCATTTCTAAAAATGTAACATATATGTTTACTTTAAGCAACAGTTGTTGAAACTACAAAGTAGTGTTAACTTACACATATTTTTTTACTTTTTTCAGTTTATGTAGGTATAATATTTCTTCATTTAAAGAATGTTTAACTTAATATTATTAATTTAAATGATTATCTATAAATTTAAACTAATAAAGAAAACAAATTATTTTACCATAACATTTAAAAAAATCAGCTAGCTACAGATGTATACATAGATTGCATATTTTTGTGTGCAATGATGGTTCTCACTTGTCCAGAAGAAAGTGAATAGTGGTGGATAGCTTATAATAAGCTATGTACCATAAAAGTTTTGTTGTCTTAGCTTTTACTTCTTTTCCTTAATATTTCAGCAGTAAGAGATTTCTCATGTAAATCTGAATATGTAACTTTTAGTAAATAATTTTCTTCACATATAAATAATAAATCCTATGTTTTCAGGTTGTAATGCTTTTTTAATATTATTATCTAAGATTACAACAGACAAAGTTGAACATTAGAAATTAACCTCTTCACCAAGATAAATATTTTGTAAATTTATGTGTATTTTCATAAAGTACAAAAGATTTATAATTTGGAATCATTGATAATTCAAACGAAATAAACAAATAAAAGAAATTTCATATAATATCTAACTTTCAAAAGATCTTTAATAGAGTAATATTTAAAAAATCGCTAGGGGTACGCTAAAGTTTTTCTTTTTCAGAATTTATTCTTTACGTTTTCTACTGATGATATCAACCATAATTAGGACCTAGGGTCTGATTCGTGATAGTCGGTTTACAGCCTGATTCTTTTAACCTGAAGTTAGGATCTGAAGTCAGACTCATCATTACAACCGAAGAAGTTATTTCCATAAACACAAACAAAATTTTATAAAAAATAATTCAAGTTCCTTCTGCAACTAAGAATAATTTCACTGCAAAATTTCCACAGTTGTAAAAGAATAAAAAATCATCTTTAAATATTTAAAACACAACTCAGTAATTATATTACATAAAAATTTTAAAATTATAATTTAGAAGTAATTTGTAAATGCTAAATTTACACTATATTACGATCTTTAATGGTATTAAACTAATAGCTAAGAAATGAAATTTATTAATATACTTACTGATGAGTTGGAATGAATGTTTGAAAGCAATAAGCAAGAATGCTTAATGCAGCAGTATATATCTAAAAAGAAAGCATAAATAAATTTAATGAATATTATTACAGATACAACACAAGTAAACTCTTACAAAGTCTAAGAACATAAAATTCTTTTATTGCATCAAAAAAAAAATTTAAATGTTAAGCATGTCTGTAAAATTCTCCCTTCCTGAAAAAAATTAACTACAATGATTAATGATTCTAATTTCAATTGAATAGACAAATAAATAAAATTTGTAAGCTTTGATTAAAATGTCAAGTGAATTAAATGGATTGAACTTTTATCAATATGATAAATTATATTGTTACCTAAATGTAATAGATTATTTTAATAAATATATTGGGAGTATTTCATCACATCATAATCATTTTTATGAAACTAAACTAAAATATTTTTTATTTTAAATTTTTATTTAGAATGTTAGGTTGAGTAGAAGAGTTTAATGGCTAAAAAGCTAATTTACAAAACTTAAATGAAATTTCCCATTTAAGGTAAGAGAAAGAGATTTCCCTTAAATGGGAAATATCTTTCTTTTACCTTAGAAAAAGATGAATTTTCAAAAAAATAAAAATAACTATTTGCCAAGTTAGATAGAAATTGACAACATTTTACATTGATGCATATGAAATTTAACCCAGATAAACCTCATTGCATCAAAAACATACAAAACTATTAACAGAAGTTAAATTGGAACATGTCAGATTAACTACAAAAATATCTGCAAAAGAGTTAAGGTTAGTACTTTGCACCTTTAATAATCTCAGTACATAAAAATTTGATACCAAAACCAAGAATTTTAAGGATGTTCATTTCCTCCTATTTCTTGCACTCGGCACACAGATAGTCCTAAATACAAAAAAGCAAGTAGAATTCTGCATAACTCATTTAATGAAGCTTACTTACAAAAAAGAACTTACTGAAACCACTTTGTCACAAAGGGCTTTTTGTAGGAGAAATGCAGCTCCTTTGATAATGTCACTTGGTGGATGAAATTTCCCTTTTTTTTGATATTTTTCCAAAAAAATTTGCAATTCTTTCATGGCTTCTTCTCTCTGATCAAATGACTTTGAATACATTTTCTCTACCTGAAAATATCATGAAAATTAAACAGAAATAGATGTAAGATATTTGTCAGATGATTTATGGTAATGGTTCCAAAACTGTGTGAGGCAACATCTTTGATCTGAAAAGCATTAAAATTTTTCTCTATCTATACGCTACATTCAATATTGCCTTCTAGAAATTAGCGTAAAAGGTAGATTGAGTAAGCAGGCATTTAAAATGGGCACTTAAATAGAAAAACATTCAGGAACCATTGACAATCTTAATAGGGAAAGAGTACTAGTTTCCCTAAGATGCGACCCAGGTTTGAACCCTAGTAAAGATGAATTTTATGCCCAGCCTACAGTGACCACGATGCTGATGTAAAATATTTCCAGTGGTAGATGAAACATGGGTTAGAATCCTTTCACCATAGGGTTAACCATGAGTGAGTTTTATAATTTTCCTCTCCATGTATTGGTGTGGGTTTGTTCTATCAAAATGTCCTTTATGAAGCCTACCTTGTCTCAATGATTAATCCTTGAGCTTCCTTGTTTTCTAGCTTGGATTTAAAAATTATAAGGCTAAGGAGATGAACATTGATAGTCACAATCCCAAAAACCCCTGTTTAGTGTTATAAAATAAAATAAAATGGGTTTAATTTAAAAATGTAAACCTACTGGTACTTATTTTTTTCCTTTAGAAAGCAAATTCTTGAACTATTTTTGAAATAATAAATATTTTCCATTAC